CATATGAGGTCGGATAATTAAGTTTGCGAACTCATCCTAAAAAATGTGCTACATTACCTCATTGCTGAATATCATTATGGTCACCTTTGAAGTACGCCCCCTGGGAAGCGATGCACTGACACCAGTGCCTAGTTCACCCTTCAAAGCAATTCTGGAACTATTTTTCTGGAATGGTCATCAGAGCTGTCGTCGTATTACCCTTGAAGTCCTGAATGTCATCAAAATGTCTTCCTTTCAATATTTTCTTTCTATTCAGGTAACAAAAGAAGTCATTGGGGGCCAGATCAGGTGAGAAGGGAGGGTGTTCCAATAATTTGTTTACTGGCTAAAAACTCCCTCACAGACAGTGTTGTGTGAGCTGGTTCATTGTCGTGATGCAAGAGCCATGAACTGTTGGCGAAAAGTTCAGGTCGCTTTCGTCTAACTTTTTCACGCAGGCTTTTCAGCACTTCCAAATAGTAAACTTGGTTAACTGTCCAGCTGGTACAAATTCATAATGAATACTGTTTTACTGGAATTCCTCTGATATCGAAAAAGGTTAGCAACATCATTGCAACAAGTTCGTGAACTTAATTGTCAGACCTCGTACACCTACCATACAATCCAACCATTTCACTCCTAGGCTTTTATACAAAAGAATGCTTTTATACAAAAGAATGCTTTTATACAAAAGTATGATACCGGGGGTGGGAGGGCAGTGGATGGAGATGGGGGTTGTCACTTTGTGAGGGGTGAAAAGTATAACTATTGCGTTGTTTTGTATACCTGAAACTAATAAATAAATAAATAAATAAATAAATAAATAAAACTGGAAATAACCCATTTGTCCATCAACAGGTGAATATATTAAAAAAACCATAGGATTTTCACATAATGAATACTATGCAAAAATAAAATAGGAATGAATTGTTGACATCTGCAACAACATGGATCAACCTCAAAATAATTATGTTGAGTAAAAGAAGCTAAAGAACACATACTGTATGATTTAATTTATATAAAATTATAGATCATGCAAACTAATCTACAGTGACAAAACACAAATTGGTCAGTTGCCTCTGGAGGGGAGTACACAAGAGAGGGAAGATTACAAAGGGGCATGAATAAACTTCTGGGAGTAATGGATATTGTTCACAATCTTGAGTGTGGTGACAGTTCCATGAATGTAGATAGATATCAGAACTTAGCAAATTATACATATTCAATAAATGAAGTTTACTGTATTGTATGTAAATTATACTTCAATAAAACTGTGTCTTTAAAAATAGGAATGAAGAAAAAGAATTCAGGACAAATTACAAATACTGAAGATATGCAAAGATGATTCAACATAGGAAAACCAGAGTCCCTCGAAAGGAAAAACCAAAGTAATTAACTCAAGAATCACTTTCCTGAAATTAAAAAGATTTGAAAAACTTGAAAATATATATTGAAAAAGCTCCTCACATATGTAAATATATTAACCCAAAATCCCAAACACTAAGACCTGGTTTAGAAAAGTTACTACTCTTGAAAGAAAAAGAAAAAAATCCTTTGGGAATCTAGGTAAAAAGAGTAGGTGATTTAGAAAGTAAAGAAAATAAGATGATCATCTGATTTTGACAATAACTCTTTAAGTTGGAGGGAAACAATGGAACTAACATATTTAAGATACTCAAGAACAAAAAATGTGAAACAAAGATTTTATTTTCAGACAAATTGACCTTCAAGAATAAAGGGCACAATATGTTAACAACATACAAGAACTCAAGAAATATTGTTCCCATGACCCCTGCCTAAAGAAATGAGCTTCACACAACCAAACTGACTGGAGACATAGACATAAGGACCAGTGGTGAACACTAGATATACTCTTATAGCTACTGTAAACTTAAAAGAGTAAATGATGGGTAAAAGGGAGAGCTATGTAATAGCTACATGCTCAGATAACGTAGATACAACTACATTTTTAAAAATGGAGACTAGAAATTGGGAGAGTACATGCAAAAAAAAATTTAACATCCTTGGTGATTATGGGATATCCTAACTCTCCTATGCCCTTAAAAACCAGGATTTTTGGTGTGGAAGAAGTAAAAAAACCCTGTAGTCCTGATTTTGAATTGGAAGTATCAGTATGAATCATGAAGTATTTTATCTAGTTCTGTTCAGTGAAGAGGCTAAAAATATGACCAACTCAATAACAATCATCTCTAGCACCCAGATTGTAGTCTTTAAGCTCCATTTCCCACCAAAAGAAGACAGGGCTTCTTGAAAAATGGCTGACTCCAGGTCTGGGGCAGGAAATCAACTTAGAATATATTTTCATACCACAGGGTAAGGATGCTATCAAAGACTATTAGGGTCAAGTCAAAAGGACTCTAGAATCAATAGGAAGAGGCTCCCACTGGCCAAAGACCAGACAATTTGACCATCAAAAAGAATAATTAATTGCACTAAAACCCATCAAATTATTTAAACCCATGACTGAAACCCACCACCTGTTTGTTTATTCAGCACATAATATATACTTGGCCTTAAATTAGAAACTGTTACCTTTAGAAAACTGTTCTCAAGGAATGTCCCATTTTCAGGAGAAAGTAACCTTTTCAACATTTTTTTTTTGAAGTGGCCAAAAACAATTAATTTGGGGGTTGTTATAGATATAGACAGACAGACAGATAACAGTTTAGTACCCCACATCATGGCATCTTCCCCAACTTCCTACAATAGATATTTACACGTATTTTTTAATAGACTAGGAAGAAAAATTGTTCCAATGCTCTTTAATTTTCCTACAACCTACTCCTCAGTAAGAACTTATGCCTAGAGTTCTAAAATCTCTCTAAACGCAAGTGTCAAATCAATTGTTTTTAAATGATGAATAACCAAGGCTTGTCACTGATTTTCATCCATAAACAAAGATTCACATATTTCGTCTGTTAATGATTCTTGCTATAATGTTTATGAAAATAAAAACAGAACTATGGACTTCATAAGCAACTCATCCATCCTAAAACATCAGACATCTGACTTGCTGTTCTTCAGATTTTCATTCTCTTATTATCTTAAAAGTTAGATAAAGTTCAGTTTAGCCATAAATGGATGACAGAAGCTTTGCAAATTTCAGAATCAAAAGTTAAGGCCTGCCCATGTTGATTAAAAAACAACAACAAAGGCTAAATAAAGCTAAATGTATAAACATCAGCTGCTTGAATAAATTTAAAAATATTTTTCAAACTCAACAGACAATCTTTAACACTACCAATGAGTTTAATACATTATTCTCTTAGTAAATGTATAAACACCTAATGGGGGTGGCGAAGACACTTTGTGTATGTCCTCTATAATCACAAAATAATTGCCCAGAAACATCAGGTTCAATTTCCCTAGCCACTTGGTGATCCAATCAGACAGGATATTAAAAAGCTTTCTTAGAAACTTTCAACTATTTATGCATTTACAACCAATGCATTTTATCAAAAAGGAAAGACAATTTGTATAGGTCTGATAAGCTGAGTAAGAGGTTTTAGGTATTTATTTCCAAATACTTTGATATAATCTTGTATGTCAAAACTCTGAAAGTAAAATGCTTTTCCTCCTGGTAATGTAGAGAGGGATAAGTACCAGTTAGTTATTTTGCATCAATTTTTTTTAAATCAAGTATTCTAAGAGACTGTAATTCAGAGACAAAAAATGACTTTCCCCCCCCAAAGGGGTTCCATTTTTTAAATACAATAAATAGAAAGATTGAATAGAGTCATATTCTTAAGTTGACTGGTAATTTTAATAAAGCACTAAGGAGGTTCAGTTTGTCTACATGACCATTTTTTTTCTTTCTAAATTAGGCTAGTTATTAGAAGACCTCATTAAAAGCATAAGCAAACAAACATTTGCTAATAAAGCCTAAGAAAGTATACATCACTTGCTGAAGCTTACATTCTTACATTAGGCCTCAAAAAGAAATTTTAAAATGCGCAAGAAATAGGGGAGCCCAGAGAAAGCCCATTTATTAACACAGCACCCAAGAAACCTTTCCCTTTCTTGTTCCCCACATTCCCTACCTAAGATAAGACTACAAGAAAGTCACCAAATCTGCACTGGTCTCTACAAATTAACTGAGCCAGAGTGTGCAAACAACTCCTGCTACTCAAATTAATCACAAAACAACGCAATGAAATGTTTCTTTTGAAAACAGTCCTAACTTCATAATTTAAGTTTCAGATTCATGACATTTGGAAATAAGCCTAACAAAATGCTGAGCATATGTAACAAGTTAGCTATCCTAGAAAGTTTACAGGATAGTCAAAACTATAGCACCTGGAATTTGTCAGATAATCACCGAGTTCTCAAGAGCATAAGTAGAAGTGACACCTACATACATAATATGACAACATAAGGTTGGATATAGGGCTATATGAGGAAATACCACCAATAAAAGAATCTGAAACAGAATCAAAGCCACAAAACCCTGGAAATAAGCCTTATGGCCAAAGAGGATCATAATGGAAATAGGCATTCTTCCTTTTTCTAACTCCTTCAGACTAGTAAATTCTAAATGTACCAAAGCATACATATAAAAAAAAAGGTTTAAAAAATTCATTACAGAGTTTGCATTAAATACAGAGGATGCCAAAAAATGTATACACATTTTAAGAAAGGATAAAACTGTATTAAGCTTGTAATACTCAATATATACCGATAACAAAAGACAAATACAGGTCACGTTTGACTTCTGCAATTACAAGAGGTGCTCAAAGTGGTTACCATCAGCGTCCAGACACTTCTGATTATGGCAAACTACTGCTTGAGCAATGCTAACCAAAGTGTCCATTTGTATACATTTTCTTTGGCACCCCCAGTATATGCACTTAATAAGTGCTTTAAATGCTGGGCACTTCACTTGCTTGTACATTTTACACAGACGAATTAGTCAAATCTTCTGAAATACACTTTTTCCCCTTTTCCAAACAATTCTGAAGGATACAGAGGTCTATAACAACGAATACATGTTTTAAACTCACATTGTTTCTCCAGTCTTGGCTACATGGCAAAGAAATTGATCCAGGACCGGACAAACTTCCTTTTTCCCCCTCTTCTCAAAATCTGGATAAGGGAAGAAAAAAAAGTTATCAATATCACTCATAAGCCCATCAGCCATTTCAAATCTCGTCTAAAAAGCAAACTTTCCTCCCAGTCCTTCCTCATATAAGAGTAAGAAAAAAAAAATTAGCCTCTCAATCAAATATCCACCTCAAGTCTCCAAGGTTTCCTTCCACATGTCATCCTCTGCACAGGGCACAAGAGTTCCCCTAAAGAGGGCACTCAGCTTCACCAACCATCCTAACGCAGTTTCTCAAAGTGTAGTCCAGGGGAACACCAGCATCAGCTTCATCTGAAAATCCAGTGAAAACTAAAATCCCAGGCCTCGTTCCCCACAAATTGTTTAACTACGTTAAGTTCAGAAACCAGTGTTTTAAGAAACACTCGTCACCTCGTATAATCACGTCCAAAAGATTCTGCATTTCAAAGCGTAATTCTCAAAAGGCTGAAATCACGCTACGCTAAGTTTGAAAACCACTGCTCTCAAGCCTGTTGCGTGAAGGCGAGCATTAAGGACAGTGAAAGCGACCACCTTAGAATAGGGCGCGTGGAATGAGGACTTCAGAAGCCCTGAAAAAGGCTTCCTGAGACACAAATTTAAAGCTGTTTTGTCGCCCCTTCCCTCCTACCCAAACCTTACTTTTTACTCTAACCCGACGCCTGACAAGAGAACAGAGCCTGCCTAGGAGGGGGCTGCGGGCCCTCAACCAGTCCCCGGAGGGTGTGACAGGGGCTAGGGGCCCAGTGAGAGCTTCCCCGGCTCCCCTCCCCCAGCCTAGACGCTGGCGGCCGACACAAAGCCCAGAGCGGGAGGGAGCTGCCCACAGGGCTCCCGCCCCTGGGGAGGCGAGAGGGGGATGGGTACGGGGTGAGCGCACCTTCCCACCCACGCCCGGCCCCGACCCTGAGAGCCACCCGCCCTGAAGGGAGAGGAGAGAAGGTCGGAAAGGGTGAGGAGGAAGGGAGAGGGGGCAGCTACCCCGCTACCCCCACCTTTCAGCGCCTCTTGCAGCCTCTCGATGTCCATGGCTTCCCGGCGTCCCTCGCAGCCTCCGCCTCCCTCCGCGGGTCTGGAGACCGGAACGCCTCCCCCTACCCCCCCGACGCCCACCCCCTCCCTCGCACACACTCCCGCACGCAGGCGACGGGAGGGGGGCACCGAAGGGAGCCGGGGGAAGCGAGCGAGAGAGCGAGACCGAGAGAATGAACGCCTCCCCTAGCCACTACCACCAGCCCTCCAACATGGCGCCCGGCACGTCACCGCGCGCACGTTGCCCGCCGTCGTCCTCGTGCCCGCCGCGCGCTCCGAGCGAGAGCCCGAGAGCGCGTGCGCGACGGAAGAGTGCCGCTGGGGCTGTCGGGAGCCCTAGCGGGAGGCAGCCAGGTCGCTGCTGGATCTCTTCCCTGGTGGTAGCCCTAACGTGCCTGTGCCGTTCTAAAGGAGGAATGATCAAAGCAGGGCGTTGGAGACAGACAGACCCCTTGGCTTTGAGTCCCTGCTTCTTGTTAGATCTTTGACTTTCAGCGATTTACTGAATACCAATTTCCCTTATGTGTGATGAGGGCACTAGTATAGGCTATACAACTACTGTGAGAATTAAGCGAAAGTATGTCAGGCAGTAAACTAACACTCAGAATTATCAATAATTGCAACAAGAATCCCTCCCTGTCTGAACCTAACACTGACCCACCCTTGAAGACATGCAATGTATACAGCAAAGTAATTAAAAGCTTAGGGGTTGTAACAGCTTGTTTCACAGCCCAACTCAAGTATTTACTCCCTGTAAAACCTCAGACTAGTTACTTAAACTCATGGAGCAGACCCGCAGTTCCCTCATCTGAAAATGAGATTTGTAAAACAACCATGAGGCTGTAGCAAAATGGTGAATATGAAGTGTTTAGCACAGTGCCTGAACTTATTAGCTATCAGTTAACCTGGCTGCTGTTTTTATCAATGTGATTTTGATTGTATAAGTGCCCAGGAAGTTAGAGAGGGAGGGAACCTCAGAAGTCCTCTCCATCCCTGACATTTTACAAACAGGATAGCTGAGGTATAGAGAGCTACTCTGCTAAAACAGCACCGAAAACCAGGACACCTGGCTCCCAACCAGTGTGTGGATATTTTTATAATATATTTTCTCTTGTCTATGGACTTTTCAAAGGAAAAGATACTGAATTATTCCACCTTTTCTTCTGTCAACTAATGACTGACCATTGGCACCAATTCAATGCCAGTAGAAGTCCCCAATTCCACGGTACAGTGAAGGAAACCATTCAGTGCTAGCAGCTCAATTGTGATATACACCAAGACTGTGAGAAAAGCAGAACTGCAAAGTGGCCCTCGGACAAAGCCCTTCTCAGTCTAGACAGCTTTGATCTGCTCTGGTCAGCTCTGCTGTGATCTAGGGAGAAACTAAATTCTCAGTCTTCAATGGGAAGAGAAAGTGTGCTCCCTGAGCCAGCAGGGAGCTAGCTTATACAAACAAAAGTCCGCACCACTGGTCCCTGATTGGTCCATCCTCATGCAAATAAGGACTCCAAATTCTCATAGTTTTATTGGCCCAAAAAGCACTGTCCTGATTGGTCAGAATGGAGTTGCTCTGATTGGTCAGTGAAGATGTTAATGAGGGTATAGCTGCACAGTTCCCTTTGGACGGGGAAAGCCTTAGTCCTATTGGTTGAAATACAATTCCAAGACCTCCTTTATAAGAGTTGGCTCAGACAGCAGTGCGGGTAGGCAGTTCAGTGTGGTTTGCAGTGATGCATGTGAGAGGTCCCTGTTTAGAAATGGATGCTAGGCTCTGCTTTTAAGTTTGAGTCCAGTTTTCCACAGGAGCCTTTCTTGGTAGACATCTTAAGTCTCAGAGTCAACACTTCTCAAAACCTAGCACAAAGCAACGAAAGAAAGGAGTGGAAGGAAAAAAGGAGGGAGAAAAGAAGGGTATTGCTTGACTTGTGTTAAAAGGTGCAAATTTGGAAACAGCCATTACAACCATTGACCCTTCTAAAAGATAGTGGTTCTGACCCTGACCCTAGGTGGTAGATGTGGCAAAAGCCCACCTCCACTCCAAAAAAATCTCTTAATATTGCCATGAGAGAACCAGTCCCTGTGTCTCTACACCCTTTCATTGCCCAGAACATCCAGTTCAATTACAAATAATATTGTGTGTGTGTGTGTGTGTGGGGGGGTTGATGGAGAAGGTGGGTGGAGGGTTAAGTATAATCATACTTAGCCTGCACTTACCATGCACTGGATTTAGTTTATTGTGGTCCTTTTGGGTATGAAGGGGCCTACTCTCCATGTAGAAATCTTAGCCTCCCTTCTCTCTACTACCCTGTACTCTATTCAGGCAGGTCTCTTCCTATAAGATCTGCATTGGACAACACAGTTGCCACTAGCTATGTGTGGGTATTTAAATTTGAATTAATTAAAATTAAATAAAACTAAAAATTCATTTCCTGAGTTCTTCAATACTAGTTACATTTCAAGTGTTCAATAGCCATATGAGCCAAGTAGATTCTATATTGTACAGCATAAATAAAGAAAATGTCATTATCATAAAAAGTTATTTCAGAACTTTCTGTTAGGGGACATCCATGCTAATTTCTTCCACCTTTCTTTGTCCCTTTTCATCAGCTGTTCCCCTCTCTTGTGGATGCCTGGATTTACAAACACTGGATAAGATCCATGACAGGAGATAAAGTACACACATCAGTGACAGCCTAAGGGAACCAGGGCAAGTCTTCCAAAGGAAGTGGTGTTTAAGCTGAGACCTGAATTATGAGAGGAAGTTAGCCAAGTGAAGTAGAGAGGAAGAGATTTCAAAGGAAAAACCATAAGTGCATCTGATTTAAAATAAGAAAGAAGTGCCAGGTGGGTTCTGAAGAGCCATAAGAAATTCAGTCTGACGTAAGCTGAGAGTGCATGGGGAGAAGAGGCAAGAAATGAGGCTGTAGAAATATTCCCTTTGGTTAATTTCTTCCTTCTTCCTTTGAATTTTTTTCAACCAGCATGAATCCTAGTGTCTGCAATTGCTAAAGCCTTCTACTGGTACTAATTCCCTAGGAGGAAAAGAGAATATAAATGTGACAGCCAGCCTCCAGGATTGCCCCTAGTGATCTTTACCTCCCGGGATTCATGCAATAATGTTGTCCTCTCCTACCCTGAGTCAAAGCCGGTCTGTATGACCAATGGGAGTACAGCAAAAGGGATGGTGTTTGACTTCTGAGGTTAGATCATAAAAGGCACCGTGGCTTCCATCTTAGGCTCTTGGATTGCTCACATTAGAGGAAGCCAGCCACTATGTCATGAGAAAATCGGAGCAGCCCTCTGGAAAGGCCCAAATGGAGAAGGACTGAGGCCTTTGATGTAGGTCTTCCAGCCCCAGGAAGTCCTTCAGATGACTGCAGCTGACATGTGGATTATAACCTTATGAGGGATTCCAAGCCAGAACCACCCATCTAAGCCTCTCCTCAATTTTTGATCCACAGGAACTATGAAAGATGACAAATGTTTATAACTGTACTAAGCTTCTAAATTCTAAGATAATTCGTTATACATCAATAGGTGACTAATTCAACAAATGAGGATATTAATAGTAACAGTTAACATTTATTAAGTATTTCCTATGTGCCTAGCATTCTTCTATGCACTTTACAAAAACATATAATTTAATCCTTGCAAAAATCTTATGAGAGGGGTGATATTATTATCCTCACTTAAAAGAAAAGAAAACTGAGGTATGAAGAGGTGAACTAACTTACCCAAGGTCACACAACTACACAGGCAAGTGACTGACCCATGATTCAAACCTAGACTGACTTAAAAGCTCCCAAACACTTTCTTGTCCTCAAGAAAGTTGCAAACTATCAGGAGAGATAAGATGTGAACATAGACACTGATGTAAAGTAGAAGGCAAGTATATGAATCAGATGGTCAGAGGCCTGTGAAATCTTTTCCAGGCAGGGATAGAGGTTGCTCTTTTGAACGGCCTTGCTTAAAGACTGGGGTAGATTTGCATCTACAGAGAAGAGTCCTCTAGGCAGAGGAAATGGTATTAACCAGGCAAACAGTCCATGAAGGCTTTGTAGGTGCTGGTGAGATGATATGCACACAATCTCTTCCTCACTACGGAGTACATGGTTTAATGAAAAAGATAAATCTTAAACAACATGCAGGAAGAGTAGCCCACTACTTGGGATGTTTGCAGAAAAAGGCTGAACTTGAGAAGACTTGGAGTAGTGCCGCATCCTGTGCAGCAAGGGCGGTGGGGAGGGACATGGGCGGTGCAGTGTTAAAGAAACACAAGAGTCAAGTATAGAGTTAAAGCAGGACCAGGGGGCTGCAGTCTCTCTGGGACTGAGCCCCAAATCAAGCCAACGCATAGCTTTTATTGAGAAACTTCAAAGAAGTGAAACTTGTTTTTTCTAAAGTCCATGTGATAAGTGCCTTATGGCTATTTTCCATCAACCAGCCCCATTGTATTCCAACACCTGCTGTGCCTTCATATTCCCACACACACAAACCCCAGGATGGTGCAGCTGTACCACGGCCATGAAAATAAGGGGGATAACCGACATCATTCCATCAGGTCTCAGCATTCCCAGACACACCCTTGAGAAAGCTTTACTGGTATCATTCCACCGGGTCTCAGCATTCTGAGACATTCCCTCTTGACCTCATTAGGTCAGGGGTTGGGGGGGCAGTCGAGTACAAAGCTGTAAGGCAACATCTTCCCTTTTCTGTTTTTGTAGAAGGAGAAACACGGACTTTGCAGTTTCTTCATCTAGTGCCTGCCGGAGGGCTTGTTGTCCACATCTGAAGACTAAACAGAACAATAATAAAAAAATCAATAAAAGTATAAGAGCACCGGCAAATCCTCCACCTAGACTTTTCACCCAAGTAAGGGGATTTAGAGTAGAAAGTCCTTCCGCAACCGCAGAAAGGGAGTCCTCTCCTGGGAGGAGCTGTAGATTAGCAAAAGACATTTGATCCACTTCTTGTTGCAACTGTAGGATATCTACAGTAAGGTTTGGCGTATGTCCCAAGAGATGAGCTCGTACCTCTGACCATGGGGTATGTGTCTGATTGTAAGAAAAAGGAGTTACACAGTAAGTGGAAACATTCCAATCACATTTTAAGGTAATCATGGTATGGAGACTTTCTAGACTGGTCTCCAAGAGAAACAACAGTTGTTTCTAAATCAGCTAATCATAGGCTGATTTCTTGATCGATTTTTATTTGTTGATTCCAAGTTTTACTTGCATTTT